TATATATAATGTATGCTTGCAGTAATCTTTCAAGTTTAATGTTGCTCTACTTGAACTACAAGTGTTTAATGAAAAAAATAAATAAATAAAATAAAATAATAATAATAATAATAATAATACATTAACAGCGCCTTTCTGGACACTCAAGGTCACTTTAGAGAAAATATAAAAAATAAATAAAATGAAAGATGAAAATACAAAAATACAAATACATAAAATGTATCTAACTTAATTCGAAAGCAAGTTTGTAGGTATACTATTAGTTCATTTTACTGGTCTTCTTAAAGTATACTTTGAAGTACACAGAAAATGACCTTCTAGGTTTGCTTTTATTTTACTAATAATACAGTTGTAGAAAAACAAATCCAGGCATTTTATTTGCATTCACCAAACAATGACAGGTTAAATGTTGAACGGAGTGTGGGCTGGGATTGAAATGCAACACACCTCTTTTCCTCCCCCCCCCTCTCTTCTTTTCCTCTTTGCTACTTGACACTCATCCACCATTCTCCTTTAGATTGGGAACTGATTATTGTTTTAAAAGTGTTTCTTTATGGTTGTCTGCTGCCCACTTGACATAAATCCTTCTAAACTCTAAAAAAAAAAAAGAAAAGAAAAGAAAAGAAACTGTCCAAATCTTAGTCTCTGTTAATTTCATGTTAAAAAGTTAAAGTAAATTTTCACAAATTAAAGAACACAGCATGAGCAAATCAGCACCAAGTTCAAAAATATAATAATCCTTGCACCACAGTACCTCTAAAAAATGTGCAGTCAGGGAAAATCCAACAGGCTGAATGTACATTTTATTTTCTTAATAAGAAAAGCTGAACAATTTACTACAACAATTAACAACAAACCCTGAGGAAACCCTTATTTGGAAAAAATTTGCTATACATTTTAAAAGTTTGTTTCATAATTTGTTTTGCAAATAAAATAGTTAATATTTTGTCCAGCAAAAATTTTACTTTTTTATTTAGAATCTTTATTTCATTTTATGATCCACCTTAGAAAACGCAGCATATAAAATCTAATTGATCAATTCATAAATCAAACAGCATTAAAATGCTAAAACTATGAAGCTAAAATAGTGATAATATTGATAGATTACAACTGAAAATAGTTCTAATAACTGTGCAGGGTATAAAAGCTTTTAGCAGCGGAGCAGTCCCATTTAATGGTTTTCTTATTCTTCACTTTATAATGCAAAGAGACCAGAAAATAGTTTAAATTAAAATAAAATTTTCTCAAACTTTGAGCTCTACCTATTTTCTCTTTTGAAGATGGCTTACTTTGAATTAATAGATTAAAAAACGTGGTTAAAAACTGCTATGATTACAATTTGTAATGCCTTACAGGCAAAATACTAAGACCTTAAAAATATTTCAAAGTTGATCTTTCTCCAAGAAAAATTGCATTATGTATCATTGTATTTATATAAAGGGATAAACATAAATGACTGAAATCTTTCTCAGACAAAAGGAAGGGGCCTAATTACATTGTTGTAATGCGGGTTCATTTAAACAGAGGATGAATTAAGTCTGGACATCAGTCATAGGCCTATTCATATTGAATTAAATCACACTGTCCCTTTAGCTTCATGCTTTAATGCTTTGCTTTTATAACAGTTGCTTTGATGTCAGATAAGATGTTTATGATTGAATCTGAGATGGTTTACAAACCAAACATCTGCACTGTTTACGTCTAAATTAGACAAAGAAATGCTTAGTTTTACTATTAAAATCTCAATAAATAGTATAAATGCAAAATATTATTTCCTGAAATGTATTTTTGAAAGCAATGTTACCAAGCAATGTTGGTAAATCATGGAGCTGTAGGATGCTATGGTTTTGAGGTTTGAGGCTCCCTCTAGTGGAAACTCTGGTGGTAAGTGCCTGCCTTTTTACACAGAATAATCCCTCACATGTTAACACAGGTATCTGAGAGGAATAAACATTTAGCCACTAGAGGTTTGATGTTAGACATCGAGAAGAAGCACAATTAAAGGGAAAATATTGTTAGACGTTTTATAAATCCACATTCTGAGTATATTAACTAGCTTGAAATAGTAATAAAACAATAAATATTACTATTCTCTTAACAAATCAGCCAGCTTTACTTTTAACCATGCAGAGCAAAGTAGGAAACTTTTGACTAAAGTTTTAAATTAAAGTTTCATTTGATTATTGGAAAATAGAAAAAATCGAACTTGTAAAAGTATAAATAAAATAAAAAATCTATGGTCATTAAATTCATGTGAGCAGTTTATGCAAAAGCAGTAAACTTGTTTCCAATTGTTCAACAAAAAGAGGGGTCCTTCATGCTTAAACAACAGAAAAAAAGACTTAAAGGTATAGTGGAGGATTTTTGTGAACTTTGAAAAGACTCTCCACTTAATAAACAAAAAATGCACATGCACAATCCTGTATTCGCTCCTGAGAGGGAACGCCTATTAAACGCTTGTGAGAGTGTCCTTAACTCATTTCTCTTTGTAAATGGTAAATGGTAAATGGCATGTACTTATATAGCACCTTTATTCAAGTCAGGAGACTTGACCAAAGCACTTTACACTACATTCATTCACCCATTCATGCACACACTCACACACTGATGGTGGCAAGCTACGTTGTAGCCACAGCTCTGACAGAAGCACGCTCTGTTTAAAAGTTGCTGTTTGCATCACTCATACAACCTTCTTTCCAAAAGAAGAATAACCATTTTCCCACTACCGGTATGTCTGACTCAACGACGGTAAGTGAAAATGGGGATGAGCACGTAGGGCGGTGTTACGTAAACATATCAACAGAATGATTGACAATTAGGAGGACCAATTATTTTGATGATCCACCCGGAAATAAGAAAAACCTCCTCTTTACCTTTAAATGCCATAAATTTTAGCATTAAATCACCTGCAAATATCTTAACTTTGGTCATTTAGATTTTCTGGATGAGCTTGTGGGAGTGAGGGTTTCAGTGTAATTAATAAAAGAATGTATATTTCACTAACCTTATTTTCAGCCTAATGTATTTTATATTCACCAAACAGGTAAGAAATCTAATTCAATTATTTTCATTAAAGATATTTCTTTAAAATATCTTTGGGCACATAGATGCATCCATCCTGCTCAAACCTATGAGAATATTTCATAAAAAATCAGTAAATTATTCTCAAACCGTCAGTAAAAAGCTGAAGAATAGTGCTATTTTAGCTTAATGTTGCAATAACTACATTTCTTTCATTATAGAAAAAAAACTATGAAAAATAACTCTATATGTTTTATTAACAGAGCAGTCACTTTGAGCAAAACAGGGGAATCTAGATATTTAGTTTCTAGAGGTAAATCTCTTTTTGTAATATGAAAAGCAAATGTAAATGTTTTTTTCTTTGTTTTTTTTATATAATCAACTTTATTGTCAGTCAGGTTAAGAAAAAGGTTAAAGGATGCAGTGATCTTATAGGTGACATAGTTTCTTTTCAAACATGAAGCAATGATGAAAGTCAGATATAGAGGTTTTTTCCCCTAACCAACCAGTCTTATTTCTTACTAAACTGAATAGACGAATCATTTTAATTCAAGATAAAACACATCAAATCATCTATAAAAGTTTGAAAACAGATAAACTGATTAAATAACCTTGTCATACAACTATAAGAGAGGATCTTCTTAGTTTTGGGTGGAGGTGTAACAGTATGAAAACAACTCAGCCATAGATCAGAAACCTGTGCAGAAATCAGAGAAATGTATTGTTAAATTACAACAACGTCTGCCCGTCATTACAGAGAATGAAATAACAGTGGAAGCAGCAGAAGACTGATGGCACAGGGACCTGCAGCAGCTCAAAGAAAACATTGTCACCACATAGTTTAAACTGTGGAAGACAAATGTCTTCCTGGGCTGAAAGGTCGGAAGCTCTACGATGTCACGTCTGATGCGCAACTATGCAGTGACATATCTACGAGGTGAATGCTTAAAACACAATGCCTGAAAAGGAAAGGTTTCAACAGACAGCAATCATGGGGTTTGTTAGAGAATCAGAGTCAGGATCATCTTCCTCCCGTATTGTCGCAGAATAAGGGCAGATGACTGCATCAGTGTGCTCTCTCAATAGAGCTGTTCCAAAACTAATCCCCCACCAAAAAAAACACCAGCGTCGACTCTTCCCACTCACTTTGTTTATGCTTGTGTCATCACGTAGAAAGCATGAGGTTACCTCTTCAGACAAGTGACTGAGCTTTGGAGAAAACCCAACCGTACGTGGAATGTTGTCCTAAAGTCAGCTACTGTTCAAACAAATTAAAGTAAAATTAGAGCCTCTCTTAAACTGAAAGCATTTTCCTTTCTTTGAGGATATATCTCTTGAAATAAACCCAGCAAAGGAAAAGAAATGAGTTAAGTTGTCTAGACAATAGGATAAAAGATCTCTTTACGGTTCAACATACCTGAGACAGTCACAGACAAGGTCAGGGTGAGGCGCATCATACAGAGGATCATAATACTGTGTTGACAGACAGCAAGATAAAGAGGAATCAGAGCAGGTGTGCTTTTATTAGACCTGATTATAAGAGAACAGGTGGCATTACATGTTAGCTTTAATGTATAATAATTTCTTCTTTTTATTAAAGCAAGTATGACTGAAGGTCTTTTCAGTTTCCCACCAGGGTTGATGGAGAGTCAGCAGGACCAGAAGGTGACAATGGGGTCATGTTTATCATACCTGAAATCATGGATCTCCTAATGAAGCATTAAATCCCAGAGCAACACGGAACCCTCTAGCAAACATCTCAGCCGCTGAAGAGAGGTCAGACTTCAGCACAGAAAACAACAAATAAACAGCTACCAAACAATGAGGGCATCCATTCAGGAGCCGGCCTCAATGTGTCCAACTCATTAGTGCTCGTGAAGGCTTGACCACCCACCCTGACCCCCACCCTTCCCACCATACTGTTGTGCTGCAGACAGAAGTGTCTCCCTGAGGCCAGTGTGTTACTGCGCTGTGCTGATGTGAGGATTAAGGCATAAATCCATTTAACTGCTGTGGCACCAAATACTTAAAGATATTTGTGTCTGGAGCGGAAGGATTTATCTTTCCTCCTTTCACCACTAAAGAGCTGCAGCTCTCTTTTTTTTCCAGTATATAAGCATATAGTACTTTGCAAAAAATATTCATAGCACTCTTCAACTTAAAGACAAAGTTTTATATATTTTACTCAGATTGTATGTAAAAGATCAATAGAAATAGCAAAATATAGAAAAAATACAAAACAGCACATATGTTGTTTCCCTTCATTTCCACTTGGTATATATCTAATTGTTATGTCACAAGCAATGCATGGCCTAGTAAAGAGGAAGAAGGAGGTTATCTGAACAGATAAGACCAAGAATATCTTTTTTTTTTTTACAATGCAACATATTATATTTGGTGGAAAATTGATTCAAAACCTTGCATTTTTCTATTAACTATGAGACATGGTGATGGTATCATGATGATGAGGGAAGGCTTTTCTTTAGTAGGAACAGGAAAGCATGGCAGAGCAGAACAGAAGATGAACAGGGTTAGATACAGGGCAACTCCAGAACAAAACTTTTGCTAGAGGCTGTGGAATATTTAAGACCGAGGTTTAGCGTCTAAGTGTGCAAAACGCTAAACCTGATCAAGGCCTGAGGTTTTTTTTCATGCTCTCTACAAAAAATAGTAGTTCTTGACCTCCTTTGAGAGGAAAGGTTGAAACATTTCCAATGTCTAGATGTGTGAGGCCAGTAGAGACAAAGTTCAAGAGACCATTAACACAGTTGAAACATATCCACACTCCTCACTTTTTAGATTTTTAGTTGTAAAATATTTTGATAGCAACGGAATTCTTGGTTTTTCACATCAAAACCCAAATAAAGTACATTGAATTTGGTCAGTGTTGAAAGAGAGGTTGGCTAAAATATAGAGGCTTTGAATTTTATAAAGGACTGTCCATCAGTTAATCTAATTTCTGTATTAGAATATTATTTTTGGACAAGATTTTTAATCCGTCAATACTTTCATACAGACTTAGAATCTTGGTTTAACTGCAAATTGATACAATTTAAGACATATTTTTTTAAAAACACATTACTTTTCTATATTTAGTAATAATGCTTCAGAAATGTGGAAATTACAAGCAGCAAGGAAACATAATCTATTCTGAAATTCTTTTTACAGCTTGTTTGAAACAAAAACAACAACTTTTCTTACTAATCATTTGAGTTTTCTTTAGTTTTAAGAACTTTGAATGTTGTATTTAAGGGTTAGAAAGAAAGATATCTGTCAAAAACTCTAAATTCTACCACTGCCATAGTATTATTTTAAGGGTGCATTTGTGCATGAAGATTTTTTTATCTTAAAAGTTTCTTCACAGAAATATTTAGTTATTGGATGTTGACTATATAGATTCAAAATTACTAATACAAGAATAAATTATTTTCAGTATTCTTTTACACATTTTCCCAAAGTTAGGCTATAAATGAGATTTTAACTGTGTGTTCAGAAGCTTTCTGAGATTTCCTATCATATCTTGTTTTATTATAATAAAATCATGAACAATGAAAATACTTTTAAAAAGTCTCAGTGTTTTGCTGCCTAACATTAGAAAATAATATGCAAGAAAAATAAACAAGTTGAGCACAGTTTTTGATGAGGAATGATAATTATTTGATCTATGAAGTTCCAGTGAAGTTAGTCTAAAGAAGCATACAAAATAAAAGTTGGGTTGCCCCGCCCCCTTCACATCAGTCTGACTGAACCCGCCCCAACCCTTCATATAAATTCAAACCTTCAGAGTGTGTTAGGACTCACTCACTGCTTCAACCACACCTCAGCCTTCCGGTGCTGATAGATTTTCCTATTTCTGGGATTACTGGATGGAAATGTCTGGTGCAGTTAAACCTGTCACCTCTTTCCTCATTGAGGACATCCTGTCCAATAAGGACTGTAAGAAAGTGGATGGCAGCTGCAGCTTGCAGAAGAGGGAGAAATGCTCCGAGTGTGAAAAGTCGCCAGCTCACTTCTATCTTCAGGAACCGTTGTTTGGAATGCAGACAGGTGAGTGCTTTAAAGAATAGGAAGGTTAAAGATAGGGAATCTATTAACTGTTTTGCTTTATACAGGAAAAACAGATTTTTGATATTTGAGGAATGGCAGAAATAAACTATGAATAAGAGCAGCAATATTTTGTAGTAAGAAATTCAAGTTCTTCAAAGTGTGCATGTGTGCTGTAGTCAAAAGTGGTCTTGAACCCATATGTAAATTAGAACAGCACACCAGTTAAATGACATGCATTGTCTGCTCTGTCCTTTACAGAATCTCCCGATACGCCCCGTCCCAGCTCCTCAGAGTCAAACTTCTCCTCCACTGGAAAACAGAAGCGATCCAGAGCTGCATTCACGCACCTCCAAGTGCTTGAACTAGAGAAAAAATTCAGCCACCAGAAATACCTGTCCGCTCCGGAGAGGGCCCACCTGGCCAGCACCTTGAGACTGACTGAGACCCAGGTGAAGATCTGGTTCCAAAACAGGCGGTATAAAACAAAGCGAAAGCAGCAGACTGCAGAGATCTGTAAAAATGCATACAAAGCAGAGGGACTGGGTTTAAGAGAGGAGCTGGTCCGAGCATCACTAATAAGCTCCTTCTGTAAAGCATACCAGTACAGACCCTACCTGTGGGACTACAGTGGAGCCTGGGGACCAATGTTATGGTAAAAAAAAAAAAACAGTCATGCCAGATAATGGTTCGCTGATGCAAAGGAAACCCGGACTACAAGTTTGTTCTTGTTAAACTGGCACATTTTGAATCGAGTGGATGCTTCTCTCTTCATATAATAATGTTGACAAAGAATCAAACTCTGCGCTGTATGGACATGCATCTAGATTGTACTGTGACCTGAATGAATCCTTTTGGCATTGCTGATTATTTCAATAATAAATTATTTTTGATGAAGCCTGTATTTCTTCCTAGCTAGAAATATTTCACAACAAATATTGAACTACTGTTTAATTCATAAACATTCTTGATAACATCATGTTTCATTTTGCTTCCAAAACAGGTGCAATACTCAATTAAAAATTAGGATGCAACTAAGAAACCATTAGAAATACTGAATCTGACTCAGTGGAACCTATTTAAGTCAGTAAATCTATAAGGCAAATCATGAGGCATTTAACTGAAAACATTTGAACTAGATGCATAAAGTTAAACTCAGTGACTTAACTGATAGAGTGCAAGATTTTTATCTTGTATGGCTGAAGAATGAGAGCTGATTCCTTAAAGGAGCCAATGATCAGATTACCTAAAGATAGACAGCGCTTCAGTTTCCTGTAGGCGACACATGACACATGACAAACCATGGCAATAAAGAGAAAACTCACAAATGCTAGAAAGTTTCACAAAATACATTTTTTGGATACAGTACATGCGGCGATCTGAAGTTTAAAGATTACATTTGTAATTTAGGGTTGAGTTCAGTTCCAACTGGTTACCACACCCTGTTCTAACATCCCAATGATAATGCAAGACTTTGCCAGTAGAGCATGAAGCACGTTACTGTAGGCGTCGTGTCTTTCAATAGTGCAGTGGAAGGCAGCAAAGAGGACAGATAAGAGACAAACAAACCCAGGATTTTTTTGACATGTGCTGTTGCACCTTTAGAGAGTGAAAAAAGAGATATACCGGTAATTAGGAAAACGTTTTGCATGTTTGTTGTGATAAAATGTTTCGGAAAATTAAAGAATTTTGTCAAACACAACAAATGTAACGATAACATGCAGTTTTTTAACGAAAATTTGTGTCATTGGGGGAGTAAAAAAATCAAAACTCACATACCCCTGTATGACAGTGATTGCCATCCATCCATCCATTAGTCCTTGTCAGGGTTGAGGTGGGCGAGAGGTAGGGTGCACCCAGGTCGTCTGTCACAGGGCAACACAGAGACACACACACACACACACACACACACACACACGAACAATTTAGAGAAGCCAATTAACCTAGGAGTCATGTTTTTGTACTGTGGGAGAAGCCAGAGAACCCACTCATGCACAGGGAGAACATGCAAACTCCATGCAGAAAGACCCTGGGAATCGAAACCAGACCTTCTTTCTGCAAGGCAACAGTGCAATCCCCTGCTCCAGTGTGCAGCCCCATGACAGTGTTTGCCTCTGAAAGCTATTAACTGATTGTGAAACGAGTCTCAGCAGCAACTAAATGTGTCTTTTCCATTACTGTAGAGGATTTATGACCTATTCATCTTTACAGAATTGTTTTAAATGAACCATTGTGTAGGGTTTTCAAGCATAAATAGCCTATTTTAGGTCACGCCACAGTATCCTAATTGGATTCCTTATGGGACTTTGACTAGACCACTTCAAAGCCTTCATTTTGGTTTTTGCTACCATTGGGAGGTGGATTGCTGGTGTGTTTTGGATCATTATCCTACTTTAAACTACTACTTTATTTATCAGTTTGAGGTCAAAAAGGGATGGTCAGACATTCTCCTTCAGGATTCTTTGGTAGAATTCATGGTTCCATTTATCACAGCATGTCTTCCAGTTGCTGAAGAAGCAAAAAAAACGCAGACCATCACACCACCGCTCTGCCATATTCAGTGGTGTCAAAAGTACACAAATTTGTTCCTTTAGTAGAAGTATAGATACTGCTGTTTAAAAACACTCTGGTAAAAGTTGAAGAATCAACCTGTCCACTTTACTCAAGTAAAAGGGAAAAAGTATGTGCTCCAAAAACGACTTAAAGTATAAAGTATAAAGTAATCTTTAAAAGCTAAATTTCTCAACTATTTCGAAAAATTATTTGCGATAGGGCCAAGGATGAGGGAAGTCTTGTTGGTCTCCGTCTCCATCTCCCGATACGCTCTCGCCTGTGTCCGACCTTTCAGACATTTCATCATGTTTTTTCTGAATCGGACATTGTAGCATGGCATAGACAATTCGCGTTTGCAGTTTGAAGAGCACGTGGTTGCTTCTGATGATTTTCTTTGGCATCAGCACAAATTTGACGAATAGCTAAGCAACGAGTGTTTACGTTATACAACTCATCAATTGCACTAGTTTTTTACTAGATGTGTATGGTGCCAATGATCTGCATTGGATGGAGCACATGACGTGAAAAAATATTTATAAACATTGAACTGAAGCCAAGAGTAACAAGTAACATTTGTTTTAAAAATGTAAGGAATAGAAAGTACAGTTAATTGTGTGAAAATGTAACGAGTAGAAGTCAGAAATAAGAAGAAATATAAGTAATGGAGTAAAGTATAGATACCAAAAAAGTTTACTTAAGTACAATAATGAAGTATTTGTACTTTGTTACTTAACACCTCTGGCCATATTTCACTGTGCTATGATGTTGTCTTTCTGAAATGCAGCAGTGTATTCTCATCAGTTCGTACGAAATGGTACGAAAAGTTATGCACCGTAATTTTGTACGTTTTTTTCGTCGTATTTCGTCGTATTTTTACGTCTTGCCTCGAGACAAGATATCCTTGCGCATGCGCATCTTAAGCACCATTCAATAACATATAAATTAAAATACAGTTAACCCTAACCCTGACCCTAACCCTAAGATACAAAACAGCAAGCAACCTAGTGAGAGACATCAAGAAGTAAATTGCACTGTTTTTCCCAGTTTTACGTCCGTCCGTGGATCTGCTTTTTTCGTCTGTCTGGCTGCGCATGCACACTGATCTGTTTTTTTTTGAAGAAAAACATCCAAAACGTACAAAATACTGTGCATAACTTTTCGTAGGATTTCATACGAACTGATAATGAGAATATGTTGAATGCTGTGGTACCTTTACACCTGTTACAATGAGACACAAACTTTGGCTTTTATTGCTTTAGTCCACCGATTTTTTTCCAAAAAATCTGTTAAGTTATCAAGCTCTAGAAAAAACTGAGAAAAGCCTTTATGTTGTTTTGTTCAGTAGTGGTTTTCACCTTTGAAATCTGCCATGCAGCAAAGTTTGTCCATTCTTTTTTAATTAGTGAAGAAAAACTATCTTCATAGGCGTATGAGGCCTGTAGTACTTTAGATACCGTTGAAGGGTCTTTTGTGACCTCTTCGATGAGTCCTCACTACAATCTTGGGCTGATGTTGGTCAGCCAGCCACGCCTGAGAAGATTAATCAGTTTTACATGTTTTCATCGTTTGTGAATAATGGCTCTGGCTCAGCTGTGGGTCCCTGGATTCCCAGAGCTTTAGAAATATATTTGTAACCCTTTCCAGACTGATAGATCTTTTATTATTGGATTTCAACATGATCCCTTGCTTTTAGTGTACCTCACTTTGTCAGCCAGGCTTTTCACACAGAGCTTTGTATTAAATTTTAATTTAATAACTACTTTCTGTGATTACCTTTATTTTATTTGTTTGATTATGTATTTGTTTAAACATTTAAGTATGACAAAGCCTAAAAAGTAAGAAATCAGAGATGAAATGATAATTAAATACTATTTGTCACCGCAGCATAAATTCCTTTGTTTGTTTGTATTGTTTCTTGTGCTGAACGTTACTATGTGGCTGTTATTAAACTGCCCAGTAAATGTCACACCAACAGACAAAAAGCACAACGAAAACAGCAAACAGAACCTCTTTCATTCACTTTCATAAACAAAAGACAGTAAGGGATTAATGTTTTTTTTCTTATGTCCATTAAATGTTTACATATTTTTATGCATTAGAAACCCAAACATGATTCTGATTATTGGGATTTTGGGATATGTTTGAATCCAGTAGATTAACATGTAAAGGAAAGAGCAATATGATGCCACCACATGTCTTAAAGGGTCAATGTATCATATTAATAGATTTCATTAAATTGTCTTTAAAGGTTTAACCACTAGAACTTTTTGTCCTGATCTGGGGCAGTTTCAAACCACAAACTGAGGTTTGTGATCTGCAAAAACATTAAATGGTTAGAGCACTTTTCCAAGAAACAATGTATGTGCTATGGCGGTGCCTTTCTCAGTATATAGAGCAAGATGTATATAGCATTTAACCTTTCACCGCTTAGTAAAATATGCATGTACGCACCTGATGGGTATCTCTAAATTCTTTAAGATCACACTAGCAACATGTTTGACTTCTTAAAATAAGAACTTAACATCTTCATTTTTGCTGTCATTTTCTAAGCTATGAAGATCTAGTTTAAAGTTCCATAATGAAACCAATTCAATAAAACAATTGATAACTAACAGTTTGGCCTTTGGAGGTCAGTGCTGTGTTATTTATGCTGGTATGCTCAGGTGATTTTGCACAGTGGTTTAATCTGGTGATAAGATGGCATGCAGGATTTTGAGGCTTTACATATTTAGGAAAGGTGTGTTTAAAGTAGCATAACCAAAATGCAAGAAAAGTAATGATGGAATCTGATAAAAGCTTTCAACCTGGAGTTAAGTTTTTACCTTCACTAAAATCTTCTTGCAAAAAAATGAGATCAAGAATTCTTCTTTTTCGATTTTCTTTTATAAGAGTAGAGCAATTATCATTCCTCAAGAGTAGCAATTCAAGGTAAATTTAACAGGAAAACTAAAACTGTATTGGTTTCTCCTTTCAATAGTAACCCCTGCTCAGCTATTCCCTAAGCCCTCAGAGTAAACAGGTAATTAGACATGAAGAGGGCAGATTGCATCTGTTTTGACGGCCCTGAAAATCCGACTGTATCTCTGTGTCTCTTGGGCTGTATAGGAGCAGGCTGATCAGATAAAGGAGCACATGATAGGTTGAAGTTGGAGGTGAGCAGCTTGACTATTATTGTACACGCCATTGTAATGCCTGCCGTTTTGTAATACCTGCACTTCCGCGGGCTCAAAGGGACACGGTACACTGAATCTCAAACAGACTTACAAAAACATCAGGTTGTCTTTTTCATTCACATTCAATCTTCTGGTTTGGGGAGTGACTCTGGTATAGTCAGTGGGCTGCCTGGATTTAC